GTTTAATGAATAATTGAAAGGGAAGAACCCTTCACTTTAAACTATGTTATATATATATATATATATATTACTAATTCAAAGAACAAAAATAACTAGCTACTAATATATAATACCAAATTTGTTAAATTTAATAAAATAAATATGTTAAAAATAATGTTGATTACTAAAATATTTAAAGTTACATTAATTGTTAACACAAATGATTGAATATAAAAATTTATTTAATAATAATTTTTAATAAATTTATGTAAATGATAAAAATATCAAACTATAGATAATAAATACTAATGAAAAAAAAAAACATGGATGGATGAAATATGAAATGATTCAATGTTAATGTTTTTAGATGTAATAATTAAAGTTAATACTTGTAACAAATAATATAACTAATGTAATAAAAAATATTAATGAAAAAGTAATTTAAAAAATATAATTAACCAAATCTTATAAGTAGTAATATATTTAAATAAGCAAACATACTTGGCCTTACCCTTAACATTAACATGGAAATAATATGCTAAAGATTTAATTTTGTAACGCCCCATTTTTTTTTTCTTAATAGCGTATTTTAAGATAATTGTACGACCAAATACGAAAATGTCATTCTAAATCCACCATATATATGGAAACTTTACTGCAATATATTATTTAAAGTCAAAATAAACCTGCAACCCTATATGTAATATCACAGTGAAGTATAATCTCACTGACTTCTAACAAACACACTATCTACACTATTACTAATTATTACACACTCAATCACGCCAAATAACGAAAATATTATTGTCCTGTTCCTATATCTGCTAGACTCGAAAATCAGCAACTCCAATCCCGACTCCATCCCTACTTCTTCTGTAAATAATAAAAAGTGAGTATATACAACTCAGTACAGTAAAATTAAGTTACAAGTATCATATACAACAATAGGGAACTCAGTGGTTCTATATGTACTCCACCTACTTAACCTAATACCTGCCCTTGGTAATTTAAATATCATGCATGTTAATTGTGACCGCCTCTCGATATCCCCCAACTGTACAAATATTCTCACCCGTCACCAGTATCGGCGACCATCAATAAACCGCCTACCTCTCGACCCCTAATAGGCCACACACACACACAGATACCGTTCTTTTCCGTCATCAATATCGGCGACCAGACCCCTTTCCGTCGGAGTCTCCCGACCATCACCACTATCGGCGATCAATTTACTTCTTCTAGGTAGCAACAACCAACATCGATGTCCCCCAATGCTACCAACTCAAAAACAATATCATTTTGTCCTTACTCCACTACCTTATCTTAAAGCTCTCTTATACCTTTAACCTGTATATCTAAACTACACGCGTCTCCCCATAAGACACATACTAATACTTAACACACCCACACCAGTAATGTTCTCTTGCCAATTACCAAATTTACAGCAGCTATACCAACCTATATACAACACACACCCTCACACCACACAGCTACACCACTCATCCCCTCGCCCTACACAGCTACACCCACACACCTCTATTCCGACACTTCATACCCACGCTCTACGACCTCTCATTCTTCCTCCCAAATTTTCTACATCCACACACTACTTCATCTCTTACACAAATCCACCTCACTCACCAAATCCCTTTT